GAACGACTCGGCCATTTTAAGGTTATTAATGTCTTATCGACGTCTCTAACCTATCTTTAGGTCATATGGCACCTACTGCTGCATTCTAATATGATGGAAATGTCAAATTCAAATTTGTCCGGATTTAAGTGGCGGACCCTGTATATGTTATTATTTCAGCGCAATTTAGCAATAGAATTAACTAACAAAGCAAGAGTTGTAATACCTCCGGAAGGGTGCGGATTTCTGCAATTCCGCATCCTTCCGGAGGTATTACAACTCTTGCTTTGTTAGTTAATTCTATTGCTAAATCGCGCTGAAATTTCGACCGTTGTCGTCTTACCGCGTTCCATTTCTCATATAACTTCCCCTTACGTATATTACCGCGCTCGTAATATATCTTCGCGGCTACAAGTAAACGCGGAAAACACAAATTATCAATATTGTCAATCCATAAAATCGAGCGTTTCTCAATAAGCATGCGATTTGCTTCCATCCTCCCGCGGCCAGAAATTGCTTTAGCGGACATTACGCGGATATTAAATTTAGAAGCGATATCAAGGCCGCCGGCGCTCTGCGCTACTGAACTTACAAGATTCCATATATCGTCGGGTGATAAGTCTCTGACCATGCAAAAAGATATACTTACAGGACCGTGAGACAAATTTTCGCTGTCGAACGCTATTCCCACGTAATCGTTTTCAGCAAGAGAATCTATTACATATTCAGAAATTTCTCGAAACGCTCGCTCTAATCGACTCACTATATTATTTTTTTCCGGCTCGCGTATTGTAAATCGCGCTTCTTTGCCCCGTACTTTCAAATTTTTAAATAGTCTGGTATGCTCACTTTCTACATATACAAACTTATAAGTATTTTTTTTGCTGCGCTGCTTCTTCCTCTTCAGTTACTGCTGTTTCCTCCTCTTTTTTCTTCCTTCCATTAACTTCTTCTTCGTCATTTATTTTGCGATGAAAACCTCCTCCGATTTGCATATTATTTGCTGCAAGAGTAAAAACAAATATGTTATATTATTGTTAGATGTTACATTTTATATATATTTTTAAGCAGCTTACTTATATCAAGATTTTTAATTCTTCGGCTGGTAAATTCAAAGTTACCAACCCATCAAATGATAAATTTTCCACTGATTGATTTAGCAATGGATATTCCCAATGACTTTCCCACCACTCCTTTGCCTCGATGTCAGGCATATCTATGTGATGTTGAAGCCACGCGGAGACATTCTCAACTCCTGCAAATTATAATTTTTGTCTAAATCCTGATATAAAAAGCGTAATAACATATAAAAAAGAAAACTTACTGTGTTTGTTTAAAACAGGGCTATAAGAGACGCCAATTGAAGAAATGCTAGACGTATTATCGGGTTCTAGTTGTTCTTCTTGTTCGCTGAGTTCTCCTTGTTCTTCATGTTCTTCTTCAACTTCTTCAACTTCTTCTTCGCTTTGTTCTCCTTGTTCTTCTTGTTCATCTTGTTGTTGTTGTTGTTGTTGTTGTTGTTGTACTAAAAACATCAATACTATATTATCGAGTTTCTGATGTACATACATAACAGTGATCTAACACAAAATAAATCGGCACATGCGGGGAGGTAATCATACATTCGCGCGATACACTCACATGGTGAAGCGTGTACCGCGCCGATACAATAATACTATAAATTCTGTAAAACGCCTTATTTAAATATAAACTTATCAGGATGCGAATGTAATATTTGTCGAAACAAAGTCAAATCTATTGTCGAGGCGGTGCTAATATTTTCTTCAGACGGCGCCGCCTCTTCTTCTAGCTCTAAAGTACGTCGGACTCTTCCTACAAATTATAATATATGATCGTTTTAATGCGCGATTTAATGCGACTTTGTATTAATATTGTAATAAAATTATAAGATTACTCATTGACTCTGATTTCGTCGGAGAAGATGCACGTCGTTTACATAATTGACGAGAAAATGCCGGCGCGGTAATAACATTTTTTTCAGAAAATGGCGCTATAAGTAAAAAGCAATGTTGCAAAATAAAAGATACACGATATATATAAAAATATTTCAAAATAAAAATGCCTACTTGAGTGTAAATTATCTTCATTTCTTAACACTTCGGATGACGTAGACGCTTGAGGGAATATAGACGCAAATATAAATTAATATTATGATATTAGTTGTTTAGAATTACATAAATTGAGCGTAATGTATTACATTACAACTTTTTATAACTTTATTACTTATGCAAGCTGAATAATAAATATACAATTTCTTTTTCCGATATAAAGTTAATACACCTAAAGAGTCTCTTCAGGCTCTGAAGTTTCTAAACTAATAAATATATATATTCGGTCATAGGAGCCGTTCGCTAGGTGTTGTGCGGAAATTATATATGTATATATATCCATATATATACGTGTTCACATGTAAATTTTTACACGTGAAATTCGAATTGAAATA